CTCTCTTTCTGCCTCTGTCTCTCTCAGCAAGTGCTCAGGCCCTACAGCAAAACCTAAAAAAAAAAAAAAATCCAGTCTAACTTAAAAAAATAATGCTGCTATAAATATTCATGTGCAAATTTCGTGTGGACATTTTTTTCAAAGAATTACTTTATTTTAGGGACCAGCAGTTAGCTTAATGGCTATGTCACTGAACTCCCAAGTAATGGACCACGGTTCAAGTCCTGGACCCAGTGGCTTAAACTCAGGCCGGGCGCATGTATGTGGATGCCCAAGATCCAGAGAGGAAAATGGAGGAGAAGGGATTGCGGTGTGGCCATCCCCCCAGGGGGTGATTTCTCACTTTCTGTCTCTCTGTCTCTCTCCGTCTTTCTGGCGAGCACGCGCCCTGTAGCAAAAACCTCTCAAAAAAAAATCACTTTATTTTACTTTATTTATTTATTTATTTATTTTAAGTTGATCAGAGAGAAAGAGAGAGAGGGAGAGAAAGCAAGAGGGAAAATGAGGAAGGAGCCACCAGGTCTAAGACTCAAACCACAGTCGGCCATGTGGGAGTCCAGCACCCTTAACCACCACGCCACCTGCTGGCCCCATGAACATGCTTTTACTTCTCTTGGGTAGAGAACTCTGGGTGGCACTGCTGGGTCATATGGTAACTCTATGCTTAGTCTTCTGAGAAACTATGAGACTGTCTAAACTGGCTGTACCTTTTTTTTTTTTTCTTTTTCTTTTTAAGAGAGATTCCTGCTATAGTGCGTGTACTTGCCAGAGAGACAGACAGTGAGAAATCATCCCCCACCCCTCACCCTGGAGGGATGGCTACAATGCAATCCCTTCTCGATTTTCCTCTCAGAATCCTGGGCATGCACGCACATGTGCCTGGTGTGAATTTTAAGTCGCTGGGTCTGGGACTCGAACCGTGGTCACTGGCCGTACCTTTTTTGTTTTTTTGCTATAGGGTGCGTGTACTTGCCAGAGAGACAGAGACAGAAAGTGAGAAATCACACCCCAGGGGAAATGGCCACACAGCAATCCCTTCTCCTCCATTCTTCTCCTTGGACCCTGGGCATGCACACACACGTGCCCACAGTGAGTTTCAAGTCTCCGGGTCTGGGACTTGAACCATGGTTGGCCATGTGGGAGTCCAGCAGTACAACCTTTATGCCATCTGCTAATACCATAGCCATACCATCTTAAATCCCCACCAGCAACACGAGGGTTTTGTTTTCTCCACATCATCACCACATCTTGTCTTTTCTTGTAACCAATAGTCACACTAGTAGGTATGAAGTGGTATCTTGTCGGGTTTTGATTTGCATCTCTCTAATAATGATATGGGACAGTTCTTCAGGTGCTGTTTTACCATTTGTGTAAATCCTTTGGTGAGATGTCTATTTGAATCTTTCTGGGTAACTTATTTAACCTTTTTGAATTTCACTTTACTCTTCTGAAAAAAAAAAAAATTAAACCAGATCCTAAGGCAAGATTGTACTACGTGTTTGCAAGGGGCCTGCTACACTCCAGGGCTTTACCACGTTCTTGTACAGTGCTGGCCCTGTTGGGACACAGGCATGAACCTCAGGTTTGGAGTCAGAGCAAGGCCTGCCCTAATAGGTAGAAAAGAGGAAGAGGGCGCTCCTCCTCAGCAGGAGGGCGAAGAACAGCAGCAACGGAGGGCAGGGAAGGGTCAGTGTGCTCCAGATGTTTGTGGATGTTTTTGTTTTTGACAGAGGGCTCATGCACTCTCTGGAGAGAGATGGGAAGAGTGAAGAGTGGAGAAAGCAACCCCTGTGGAGAATGGTCACACCACAATACTGTCTCCGTTCAGGGCACTCCTGCACATGCACCTGGTGTGTTTCTGAAGCTGAAAACCAGGCCTGGGGCTCAAACTGCACAGTTGGTCATGTGAGTCCTGCCGCCTTAACCACCACACCACCAGCAGCTCCATTCTTGATTTTTTTAAAAGAATTATTTTTATTATTATTATTATTTTGGAGAGATTTTTGCTATAGGGCATGTGCACTCGCCAGAAAGACAGAGAGACAGAAAACGAGAAATCATCCCCCAGGGAGGATGGCCACACCACAATCCCTTCTCCCCCATTCTCCTCTTGGGATCTTGGGCACACATGCACATGCACCCGACATGAGTTTAAGCCACCGGGTCCAGGACTCGAACCGCGGTTGACTACATGGGAGTCCAGCGACATAGCCATTACACTAACTGCTGGTCCCAAGAATTATTTTTATTATTTTAACTTGATGTGTGCATGTATGTATGTATTTTAATTTGACCAGAGAGGGACAGAGTGAGAGAAAGTGGGAAAGTGAGAAAGTAAGCCACCAGGTCCGGGACTCAAACTGTTGTCGGCCATGTGCGAGTCCAGTGCCCTTAACTACCATGCCACCTGCTGGCCCCCCCATTCCTGATTTTTAAAAACTCCTATTAGGACTAATTCCTTTTTTTAGAAAAAGAGGTTTTTGCTTTAGGTCACATACTTGCTAAGGAGAGAGACAGACAGAGACAGTGAGAAGGAAAGTAGGAAATATCCCCCAGGGGGTATGGACACACCACAATCCCTTCTCCATTTTCCTCCTAGGATCTTGGGTGCACACACATCCAGTGTGAAGTTTTTTTGTTTGTTTGTTTTTTTGAGAGGTTTTTGCTGTAGGGCACGTGTGCTCGCCAGAAAGACAGAGAGAGACAGAAAGCAAGAAATCCCCCCCCCCAGGAGAGATGGCCACGCCACAATCCCTTCTCCTCCATTCTCCTCTCGGGATCTTGGGCATGCACGCACATGCACCTGGCATGAGTTTAAGTCACCGGGTCCAGGACTCAAACCATGGTCAACTACATGGGAGTCCAGCAACATAGCCATTATGCTAACTGCTGGTCCTCTCCAGTGTGAATTTTAAGCCACTGGCGACTCTGGAACTCAAATCGTTGTCAGCCATGTGAGAGTCTAGCAACGTAACCATTACACCGCCATCTACTGGCCCCAAGAATACTTCCTTGACATGATACAATGTATCTCTCTCAACTGTCATATTTAAAGAGGAGACAATAAAGTAGTCCTATTAAAATCACATGGGACAAGACAATGCTACATACCACCATCTCTTTTATTTAACTTCTGGAGACCAGCTATTGAAATTAGACAACAGAAGAAACAGCAGAGTAACTTTTTTAAAAGACAAACTAAACTAAGTGATGATTGGGAGTGAGCTGGGGTGGTGCAGTGGTGGCATACTTTTCTGCCACAGGCTGGCCTGACCCTGGAGGTTCTGCTGAGCAAGTCCGCATGGTCTCCAACATCCACCAGAACCTTGTGAAGCAGGGCCTCCATATTATAAGGGGTGAAACCTGGAGGGCAGATATTCAGTAACCCCCAAGGCTGTGTAGCTGAATGTGGTGGAATCTAAGACTCAACTCAAGAGTCGACGCTGATGCCAACATCCACACTCTCAAAACCAGCCCTCTGCAGCCAGGCAGGGAGCGTGCGGGGACGAGCAGCAGGCACACACGGGGTTGCACCAAGAACCAGAGGCTCACTCCCACTTTGTGGTAGCTCACCTGGCCTCAGCTTCTGGAAGCTGGAGTCAGTGTCCAAGAACACAGCATCACCAGGCCACCAGGTGGCGTTGTGAAGGCGCTGGATCCCACACGGTCAAACTCCACGCTTCTAGTCCTGGACCTGGCAGCCTGAAAAACACACTAGGCATGCGTGCATGCATACACAGAATCCCAAGAGAATGGAAGAGAAGGGATTAGTGTGGCCATACCCTGGGGGCGATTTTTTTTTTCCATAGGGCACATTTCCTCACTTGTGACAGAGAGACAGAGTGACAGAAAGCAAGCAATAACCCTCCTCAGGGGGGATGGCCATGCCGCAATCCTTTCTCCTCCATTCTCCTCTGGGGATTTTGGGCACGCACGCACATGCACCAGGCATGAGCTTTAAGCCAACAGGTCTGGGACTTAAACCACAGTTGACTACAAGAGTCCAGCAATGTAAAAATTATGCCATCTGTTGATCCCTGGGGGGTGATTTCTTACCTCCCCTCCCTCCCTCTCTCCAGTGAGTGCGTGTGCTCTCTGCCAAAAATAAAAGAAACTAAGCAAAAGCACCACCACGGATGAGCAGCACCACTGTGGCAAGATGTTCATCCCCTGCACGAGGCCTCGGCATCTCCTATAGCGAGGAAAACAGTCCCTCCCTCGGAGGTTGGTTGTGAGGATCAAATGCTTCTGGCCGCAGCTTCCTCCCGTCTGGGCTACTGGCCCACGTCCTAGCCCGGCTGCCTAGTTCTCTGCCTTCCGCCTTGCCCGTAACACAGTACCTCCACCGACGCTGGGCTGAGGGTCTGGTGTAGTCACTGCGGTTCTCAGGGCCTGGCCCCTTAGCTCCTCTCACCCCTGCTTCTTGCCATTGAACAGAAGGGACCACCCCCCAGAAACTCAGGACTTGGTAGGGGCGTGAGCCTGAGATGATGATTTAAGATAAAGCACAAGCCCTAAACTCAGTGACATGGGTGGTCATGTACTGGAAGTAATGGCGGCCACATGGCCGAGGGTTCAGATCCCACATCAACCTGAAAACACGCCAGGTGAGTGTGCACACTCAAGACCCTGACAAGCTGGAGAGCAGGGAAGGGGATCAGTGTGAGGATTCCGTGTTGAGGCACCCCATCTGCCGAGGAGGGGGGTCACAGCACGAGAGCCTGTGGAGGGGACCTCTTAGCTATGTGCTCTTCTCATGATTAAAATAAAAACTTAAAAAAAAGAAAAAAAGATTAATGGGACCAGCACATGGCGTGGTGGTTATGGCGCTGGACACTCACTCCCACATGCCGACCACGGTTCGAGTCCTAGACCTGGTGGCTTCCTTTCTCACTTTCCTCTCTCTCTCTCTCTCTCTCTCTTTCTCTGTGTCTCTCTATGGTCAAATTATAATGAAGGAATGAATGAGTAAATAAATAAATGAATCTTAAAAAAATAGATTAAACATGAGAAAAGCAGAATAGCAAATAAGCTTTATTAAAGCAGCTGAACCTAGTACTGAATAACATTTTGAAATGCGCACGTATGAGCAGAGTTGAATCCAAGCGTAGTCCAATTCTGAACACTTCGGACCCACTGTGGCCATCCTGAGCTGCTCGTCTCCCCTTCCATCAGTTCAGAGGACAGCCCTTCCAGCTTTGTCCTCACCTCCTCGCCTTGGTGTCAAACTGACCCCACCATGGGTTCCGGCTGAAGGGACCTGCTAACCTTCCCAGGAGCAGGGCTGACTTGCTTGCGTCCCAGCCCCACCCTCCCTCCCTATCAACAGCAGGGCTGCATCTGGCTTCGGCATCAGCCACCCCTTCAGAGCCCCTTCCACGTGCGACAGGAGGAAACCAGCGCTGCTCGGTCTGCGGGTTTTACCACAGGAACCTGACAACTACTGGAGTCTGCCCTCGCCCTGCATAGCTGGGAGAGGGCGGGGGGTGCAGGCCCCTCAATCGAGGGCTCTGAATTGCAGAGAGGAGGGTAGAGGCTGCCTTAGTCCTTCTTGCCTCCTGGGGCCAGGCCTCTTGTGAGGAGCTTCCCTGGGCTGGAGGGGGCCAGTGTGGACACTGTGGGGGACTCCAGCTTCACTCTGTCCAGGAGGGTCTTCTTAACGGCTGCTGGGGAGATCTTTTCTTGGTCGGCCATGGACTGCAGCTCTCTGTAACACCCCAGATGGGTAAAGGAAGGCAATAAGACCCTCAGAGCCAGAGCTTCCGGCGTCTCCCCATACACATGATCCCCAATCCTTGTTCTCTGACACCACCAAACACCAGAGCCTCAACCAAGCAGTCCCCAAAATTTCTTAGAAATGCTGTTTAGCTAAGTACAGCCCTGCCTTATTTATCCCATTTGCTCTGATCTAGACAGAGAGTTCCAAGCACCATCACAGGGGGAGAGGGAAGTGCGGGAAATCGGGGTACAGAACCAAAGCCTTAAAGCTGACTTGTGCCGCCATCACTTAGGAGCTGTTTGACCTTGAGAAAATGGCCCAAGCCCCAGCTCCTCCACCTGTAAGTCAAAGCTCATCCCAGTCATCAGAACACTGTGATGAGAATTAAGTGAAGTGAGGCCTGCAAACCCATAGCTACACAGTCTGGCCAGTCGTGGAGGGCAGACTCCAGCACTGCTCATACCAAGATGGCGGGTTCCACGAGGCCATGGTGCACCCCGCCCAGGGGCCAGCTGGGGTGGAGGGCTGACACAGAGGACAGTGAGGTGACTCACCGTGTTCGGACACAGGATGCCTCGACGGCATTGATGAGCAGGGAGCGGAAGCCCCCACTCTCTAGGAAGTGCAGGGCATGGATGGTGGCCCCCCCTGGGGAGCAGACATTGTCCTTGAGCTGGCCTGGATGCTGCTCCGAGTCCAGCAGCATCTTAGCAGCGCCCTACGGCAGGAAGGCGGCAACAGAGGAGACAGCTGCTAGCGCACACTGGGACAGGCGTCCCCATGAACACTGTTTCTGCCCAACCCTAACCCGGCTTCCCAACCAGCCCAGGCCCCAGCTACGTGACTCCCAAGAACCATCCCACACCCTCGTCCCAAACACGTAGGAGACAGATACTGACCAGCAAGGCCTGGGCCCCCAACCGAACCGCGAGGCGCCGTGGCAGGCCCATCTTCACCCCACCATCAGCCAGCGCGTCCAGGGCCATGAATGCCTGTAGAGACACTCGCTGAGTCCTGGGCAGCACCAACTCACGGGCTGTTCCCAGGGTCTGTTTTTTCTTTTTCTTTTTTTTTCTAGAGGTTTTTTCCTATAGGGCACATGCGCTCACCAGAGAGAGAAAGAGAGACACAGAGACAAAATGCGAGAAATCATCCCCCAGGGGAGATGGCCACACTGCAATCCCTTCTCCTCCAGTCTCCTCTCGGGATTTTGGGCACCCACGCACACGTGCCCAGCATGAGTTTCAAGCCACCGGGTCTAGGACTTTTGCCTCCATCACTTAGAAGATGTCTGACCTTGAGAGATCTACTTCTTGGTAGATGTCTACAGGGAGTCCAGCAACATAACCATTATCCCATCTGCTGATCCCAGAGGTCTGCTTGTTCTGATAACAGGCCACACCCAAGAGGTAGGTGCAACTCCCAGCCCAAGCCTGCCCGCCAGCCCATGTCACCGCCTTGGTCCCCAGAAGGCAGAGTGAGCAGAGGAAAGCCTCACGTAGGCAGGCCCACTGCCGCTGAGCCCTGTGACGGCGTCAATCAGGTCCTCCTCCACCTCGGTGCAGAAGCCCACGCTGCTCATGAGCTGCTCCAGGAGCTGCCCGTCCTCCACCAGCGCGTGGGTGCCCGTGGCGTACACCGTGGCGCCCTCCCGCACCACCACGGGTGTGTTGGTCATGCAGCGGATCACTTTGGGGGCTGCTTGGAACGCCATCAGCTTCTGGGGCAAGACAGAGGGGGAGAGCCAAGTGAGCGGCCAGGGCACAGCTCCCTCCAGCAGCTGCCACTCCCAGGCCACCCCTCTCTTCATACAGGAGACACCAGGGCTGACGCGGGTACCTTCTCCACAGAGCTGATGGTGACACCAGCCGCACAAGAGACCACGATGTGCCTGGCCTGCACATCAGCCCCGATCTCGTCCAGGATAAAGGGAATGATGTGCGGCTTCACGGCCAGGAAGAGGACATCGCTGTGCTTCACCGTGTCCTTGTTGCTGCGCGTCAGGTTCACGCCCATCTTCTGCAGGAGGAGACCACCTGATTGCGGCACTGGGGCAGTCTGGCTAAGCCCAGGCCTCCCAGGGAGCGGCTGAACCCCTGCCAAGCTCCCTCTGCCCGCCACAGCCAGAATTCCTTGCCCTGTGCCCTCAGGGTTCCACACCTACACCAACTGACAGTTTTCCACAGTGCTACTAGGCAACTAAGCATAGGTGCTGGGCGTGACAAGCCACTCCACAGTAGCCAGGAAGCAGCTGTCCCCTCCTCAGCCCCCCAGTCTGGCACACACAGTATCCTTGCACCAGGAAGGAAGGGGCACAGGCGAAGGACAAGGTGAAAGGCTAGCTCCTAGCGGTCAGAAGCAAAGTGGGTCAAGCCCTGTCCCAACCCCAGTTCCTTGCTCATCCGGCTGCGGGCCTCAGTGTGGTCCAGGACTGGGCTGGAGGACTGCCTTCCCTCTAGGACCTCGGGCTGAGAAGCAAGGCCCTGCAATGCTAGGACATCAGCCACTCCTAGACAGGATGCTGCCTGTCACCTGCTCCTTAGCCTCCTCTCCGGCACTGCCCAAGTTCTCAGTGAAGACAGGATATTATGGCTTTGGAGATAGGAACAACTAGCTAGCCAGCTTCTCTCCCTGCATGTGCATCTGTGCCTGAGAATAACAGCTACGTGGCTGTCATAAATACAGACACTGGGCCTCCGAGTGGCAGAGAGCTTTTAAGGTCACACAACAGGTCAACGAAGAAAAATCTTTACTGGGTACCATTCCACTATAAATACATCAGTTCATCCTCCAGCCACCTCAGTGCCTGGATCTGATCTCCAATCTGTCTGCCTGGGTGCTCCCACCACACTCAGCTGCCCCAAAGAAGGTTGAAGGATGCTCTTGGTGGAGAGGTCTGTGGCGGCCAACGACCAGGGCTCAGATGCCAGCCAGATTCAGTTCCCCCAGGTCATCTGTTCCTGGGCCTCCACCCTCTTCCCCATAGCCCTCCGCCCCACCTACCCTGAGCGCTGACACCGTGGGCAGGTCCATTTCCGGGGAGCTGGCTATGATCTTGTGCGCCGACAGAATGCCTGCAGAAGACAAGGCTTTTCAACCGGGGTTCACGGCTCACCTGATCCCAAGATCCCCCTGGGAAAACAGAATGGAAACCCACAGCCGCGTGGAAGCACTAGTCCGTGGAAGCACTAGTCCATCCCTTAGCACGGACAGAAGACGCACCTGTTGCCTAACAAGTCTCACCTACCCACTCCACGGGACGCAAGTTCCCCTTTCATTCATTCACTCATTCATTCATGCGGGGGGGCCGAGGGCAGCGCTGGCCAGGCCGAGGACCCGTCGGCGAGTCCGCCCCCGCCTGCACGCGCTTACCTGCGGCCGTGAAGCCCCGCGCCAGGGCACAGGCCAGCTGGCCGGCGCCGATGAAGCCCACGCTCATGGTCCCGGCTCAGGTTCGCAGGTGGCCGCGGGAACGCGCTCGGCGTGGGCCGGCAGACGCTGCTAGGGGAGGGGCGGAGAGCAGGCTCCGACCGGCGCTCACCCGGGGAAGCAGACGGAGCGCGTCTCGGACACTTCCTGGCCGGGTCCTGGGCCGGAGCCACGATCGGGTAAACCCTGCGAAAGAACCCACCACCCCTCTCGCTCACCTAGCCCGGCGCGAGTGGCAGATACGCCCACCCTGCCCTGGCGACCAAACGCTGCTAGGGGAGGGGCGGAGAGCAGGCTCCGACCGGCGCTCACCCGGGGAAGCAGACGGAGCGCGTCTCGGACACTTCCTGGCCGGGTCCTGGGCCGGAGCCACGATCGGGTAAACCCTGCGAAAGAACCCACCACCCCTCTCGCTCACCTAGCCCGGCGCGAGTGGCAGATACGCCCACCCTGCCCTGGCGACCAATCCGCGGCCGGGAGCTCGGGGCAGGCCAATCCACGGCCGCGACAGCGCCGCGCGCCCGCCTCCTGAGCTCTTGACTGTACCGGGGCGCCTGGGGATTGGCGGAGGCTTCCCTGGGGGTGCTGATGTCATTTCTGCCCTATCAGCCGCCCCGCATGGCCGAGAGGAATGGTCCAGGTTGCCTATTTAAGAGGATGAATAAGACGGCGCCAGCAGGTGGCGTAGTGGTTAAGAGCGCTGGAATCCCACTTGTTGACTGTGCTTGGAGTCTCGGACCTGGCGGCTTCTTACGATATCTCTCTGTCCCTCTCTGACCAAATTAAAATAAGTGAATAAATAGTTAAATAAAATAATTATTTTTTAAAAGGAGAGAGGATGAATAAGACAGTCCTGGCGGGGGATCTACCCTGGTCGGGAAACTGTGGGCTCTGAGCCAGGCGCCTCGGTTCCC